CGAGATGGCTGCGTTCAGGACCCAAAACCACGAGCTCTGCTGGCAGCCAGCCGTGAGTGCTGCTAGAAATAAAACAAGAAATAAGTGCTTTTATCAAAGAAACATACAAGTCTCCCATATTTTCTTTCGTTTTTTTTTTCTTTTTTGCACTTTTTCCCTGAACCCCAGCACTTCTTTGGGTTCGATGCAGACGTGCTTCTTATAGTGCTGCAAGAGAATGTTGTTTTAGGCTGGGACGTTAGATATTAAATCTAAAAAACTGTAGATAAATAAACGTCTGAAGGAATGTCGTGCTTTTTTATTTTTTCACTTTCCTTGTTTTCTTTCTCTTTCTCTCTCTCTCTCTCTCTGCGTGTGTGTCACGCACTAACCCAAACTCTTTCAAAGTCATCTTCTGCACATGATATGAAAGCTATAATAAAGTTGGCGTGTGTAAGCTATAATCTCGACTGAGCTTTCGGCCAGGCTGGATATGAAAAACAAAACAAAAAAAAAAAAAAAAGAAAAAACAGAGAGAGAGAAAGGGAGAAAGAGAAGCAGATATAGATAATTTCATTCGGGGGATTATTCCAGTCCTGAGGAGTTTATGTATCACAAAAAACAACTGAGCCTTAAAAAAAAAAAAAAAAAAAGAAAAGGTCTGACCTGACGCTGTAACTTGTACAACCAGGTACATCCATCTTTGGACTTGCTTCGATTGTTCTCATATTGTCAGGAAAAGCAGTTTGTAAGTGCACGCAAGATGAGACAAAATAAAAAAAGAAAATTTCCATAAACGGATAATTATTTTCTTCCCCACTGAATCTGGCTTTAATGCTGCGTTGCCGAGAGGCACGATGCGAGTTATTGCTCAATAAATACCAAAGGTTTAATTCCGAGCCAAATGTGTGTCGACGCCTACCGAAGATGTTGGCCTCCTAATGTGTCGAGCAGTTACACTGAATCTTTTTTTTTTTAACACACCAGAAGAAAAAGTGTTGCAATACTCTCCGGAAATTAGATTTTGGATTCCAAGGGATCATTATCATTATTAAATCTTTTTTTTTTTTCTGGGGGGGTGGGGCAACTACAGCAACAACAACAACAAAGAAAAAAAACAACAACTCTTAAATTACCTATCAAAGATAAAATTAACTTAGTCATATAGATGCATCAAAAATATTCAGATTACACTTCTTCGACTCAAGTTTCAAATACAATACATAATTTATGGCTTTTATAAGTTAAAACTAAAGAAAAAAAACAAACAAACAAAAGAAGAAAAAAAAAAACGCTTCAATCTACATCAACATCATAAACCCACAATGTACAAGTTAAATTAATTGGTTTAGAGCAAAATGAATGTCCACGCCGCTTTTGGGTAACACACGCTTCTCATCTGCTACTCAGTGCTTAGGTTGCATCTTGATATTGTACAAAAACATGCTCTGCAAAAAAAAAAAAAAAAAAAAAAAGCTTTAATAAAGTACAAACACGTTACAAAAAAACAGAGGGGCAGTCTTTTACAAATGTCGACGCAGCATCCCTTAGCTGGTGGGGCTGCCCTAAAAACTGAAACAACGTCCCGTCTGCCTGGGCTTGGTGAATCAAAAATAGTTTTTTTGTGTCTTTTCTTCTCATTATTGCTGTGAGAATGGCTCCCTTTGTAGTGCCTCGGTCCAAACACATTCCAGGAAGACAAGTCGGTGCAAGTCTGTTCTTTTATTTTATTTTTCCAACTCCCACCCCTCCCCTACCCCCACCATCATCATCATCTCTGCTTTAATTTCCAAGCAGAAGGTGGAGATAGCCGAGGAGAGGACCCAAAAACAAAAAAAAAAAGGAAAAAAAAAAGAGAGAAAGAAATTCCCCTTTTCATGACATGAAAAAACAAAAGGGGGTTTTGTGCTTGTAAACCGCGACATCACTTGACTTGCCATCCGCGCGTCCCCCTGGTCTTTCCTCAGTACGGCCTCCAGACCGCTTCGTCCATGCGGCCGCCGGGGTTCAGCACGGTCGGCGAGTTGCTGTGGCTCCCGTCGCCGTCCACCCCACCCTCCGTCTGGCTGGGCAGGTTGGGGTTCACCAGCGAGGTGCCCGTGGAGGCGCTAGTGCAAGGCGGCACCATCCGAGACGGCGAGCGGTCGCCGCCGGGCACCATGGAGAACTGGTACGAGTTGGAGGAGGCGCCATAGTACAGGTACGGCGTGCTGCTGGTCTGGAAGGGTCCGCTCTGGCTCTGGGTGGAGCCCGGGTACGGCGGGGGGAGGTAGGTGTGGTAGTGGGCGCTGCCGAGCGTCATGGCCGAGGTGACGGGCGGGGTGTAGGTGAAGGTGGCCGGGTAGTGCATGCGCGGGCTGGAGAAGCGGCTGTCCGTGATGGAGGAGAGGCTCGGGAACTGGCGCTCGAACTGGCCGGGGAACGGACTCAGGTCGGAAGACCCTGAAAAAACACGGAGGAAGGAAAAACATCGTTATCGACGTGGAGATCTCATGCACACGGTCAACTTTAGGAGGTTCTTGGAACATTACGGCAATCGGTCAGTGTATTTAATTGAAGTGGCATGTGATAAGCCAACAAAGGGAAGGTAGTAGATAATCAGGAAGTAGGATAGCCTTTCGAGAATTCCCCCCCACAGAATAATGAGCTAGTCGCTCTAGCAACACAAAGTCTTACAAAGTATTTTTGGTTCAGCTTCTAGTGCAAACGTCTTAGTATACTGGAAATAAACAAAACTAACTCATAAGTAACATTTCTGCAAGATATAAGGGCTTATTTTAAGTAAATAATTCCTTAATACAGATAAAAAGTAGTAGTTGCATTGGCAGATTATTTCACTTATGACATTTTTCTCATGTTATAAGTGAAATAATCTGGTAATAGTGGTTCCATTGGTAGATTTTGTTTTTTTTTGCAAAATATAAGTTCTATTGAACATGTTTGGGTTTGTTTGTTTTTGCGATTTCTTCTTCTACAACCAAACAAAATAAGTTTCATTGGGATTTTTTTTTGTTGATAGATCAACACAAAGTAGAAGTGAAACTGTGAAGTGAAAGGAAACTACACATGGCTTTAGAAAATAAACTAACAACTGTGGTGTCCTGGGAATTATTTGCACAAGCAGCTTTCCCTGCATATTACAGCTGCAAGTCTTTTGCGGTAGGTCTCCGTTAGCTTTGCACACAAGTTTTTCCGTCTACCCTCGAAGCTAGCTGACACTTAACCAGGGTGGATATAAAAGAGGCAGCGCTTCGTATTTTCCAGGCACGTTGTTTCCAGTTTTGACAAAAAGGCTCAAAAGAAATTTGACGCCCTGAAATTGGCGCCCGTCTCTTTAAGAAGCTAAAGCTCTTCCCGACACTCTGCCTTTGGCACGTCATCGCAACAACGTTTCTTGTTTACAACCGGTTTTAGGAGAGTTGGGCTGAGAAACAGTTGGTATGATGAGCTCAGCAGACAACAGCTGCTGCCGCTAGTCTGGAGGAGCCGAGTGGGAGGAAGCATTCAGACGCTGCCAAATGGTTGCCACGGGAGATTCAAGGATCCCTCAAAGATGCATGACAGAATCAAATCAATGCTTCAGGTACGTTTTTCATGAGGGAACAAAATGACATAAAGCTACAGAAAAAGTAAATTTTAAATAATTTATAAGAGTCTAACAGGTTTTCTGACACAATGAGCGAACACGTAGCTCATCCATGTTCTCATTGCCTTTGCCTCTCCTTAATGAAAAAGTAAAGTTTGGCACACTTTCTATTTTTTTGTTTTTTTGGAAAATAAAACCAAGCTTGAAAACCACTTTTTAAGAAGAAGAAGAAAAACGTTATTAAATTTTGAATTACTTTGTGCCGCTCTCTCACATAAAATCCTAATAAAATAGTTTGCGGTTATCATGTGGCGAAATGTGAAAAAGGCCCAGCAGTTCATTGCACGGCACTGTAATTACACATCTTTTTTTTTTTTTTTTTTTGTGTATCAGTTTTAAAACCTCTTGTAGAATAATTGAATTTAATAAATTTGTCTCTTGAGAAATTCTAAAAAAACAAACCCCAACAAAAACCCTGCTGTAAATTTACAGTCATTTCGAGCCCAATATGTGTATTCACCAATTGGCAAAATTAACGTTGCGGTTTACGGACTAGCACTTATCTATAAATACTATCTGAATCACCGTTCCTGAGTTTTGATAACCTCCGCTGAGCCACACATGCCTTAATGTATTTAGACATCCGCGCTCCTCTGTGTGTGTGTGTGTGTGTGTGTGTGTTGGCGCATGTTTACGTGTGTCTAAATTATTGTTTATATGTGTGTGGTGTTGGTTTGTGTGTGCGTGTGCTGAGAGTGGATGTGTGTGAATACTGTATGCACATAAAAAAAAAAAAAAAGAGGCAAGTTGGGATGAATCAGGAGCTGCACATGTGGAAACACTTTGTGCAGAAACAGTTTCCATGAGATCCATAATGAGGCAGGGCTGAGCTCTGATGTGGCTCCTCTCCTCGCCTCCCATCGGCTCCACTGCGTGCGCGTGTATGCGTGTGTGTGTGTGTGTGTATACGGGCACGCACGGGTGTGTTTGTGTGCGACGGAGAGAGCCGAGCGGGAGCTGCTCCATCTCACCCTTCGTTCCTCTTTTTGCTTCATCCCTTAAAAAATACCCAAAAACCACTAACTGGCTGCGGCGAGCTTCGCGCTGGGCAAAGAGTTGAAGGAGAATAGGAGGTCCTCCTCCTCCTCCTCCTTCTCTCTCCCCTCCATCCGTCTCCTCTCGGTGGTTTAGTCCAGCCATGGCGCTCTTATCATAAATCACAAGGCGTCTTCCGTGTCACCATGTCTGCTCCGAGAGGACAGGGGGGCTGGGTTGGTGGAGAGGTGGAGAGGAGGGCTGCGGTGTTTATGTGCAGGGAGGGATTGCGAAGCCGGGGTTTGTCGCTAGCGTCAGATAGCATATGCTGCCAATTAGGGCTCTTAAACTTCCTCTTTCCACCAGATTTGTTTGATTCAAATAGCAATAGTGGGCGACTGTCTCTGTTGTGGGGCAGAAGTGTGATCTCAGTGCTGTTCAATAAAATACCGACTCTTGTTTTTAACTGTTTTTTCTCTTCTTTTTTTTTCTGGCCTACCCCGATGCTCAGAGGGGCCCTGTGATGATGAGCCAGATCAAACTTTATTAGCTGAGAGGAAACTAGAGTGTAACAGTGTCTAAATGTTTGGAGGGGCTTTTCAAACAGCGAGGCGTCATTTCCGAATTAGGTGTTATGACTCGGTTTGATGAACTTTTGCGACCACTGCTCAGCACATGGGCTGGGTTGCTAAAAGGGATGATGTTAAATATTTTCCAGGAGCTTGGTGCCATTTTACAGCACCATCGAGCAACTATGTCACCTTCAGTTGTTATAAAATATATGCTAAGCATAACTTTGACTTTGTAATTTGACGCCTTGAAATTGGGCCTCTGTCTCTTTAAGAAGCTCCTGCTCTTAAGGGAACAATGCTTCTCATTATGCTTCATCATTATATTTACAACCGTTCTTAGCAGCGTTGGACTGAGAAGTAGTTTGCATGATGAGCTTAGCGGACTTGCAGTTCCACCAGATGTTTGCTAACTGCTGCTGCCGCTAGTCTGGAGGAGCTGAGAGGAGCAGAAGCTCGGCTTGATTCTGCATTGTTCTCTTAAGGCGCAGTGTCAGAAAGAGTAGGAGCTTCTTAAAGAGACAGACGACCAACTTCAAAGCATTCTTTTTAGTCATGTTTGATATATACAACTGAAGGTAACACAGTTACTTGATTGTGCCATTAGATGGCACTGTGTCCCTAGAAAGTACATAACCCTGCCCCTTTAATTATTATGTGGAAGGATCGTGGACAAACATCATAATATCACACCTTATGATGTTTAGGTGTGATATTACACCTTCCCGTCATTTCCATTTTACAGAGGCAGACAGAGGCCTCTGGTAACTCTGGAGGAGCTGCAGAGATCCAGAGCTAATCTGAAAGAGCCCGTTACCACGGCAACTACAAGTGGTGCACTCTGCAAATCAGATCCGTATGGACGAGTGGCAAGAAGACTTGTTGGACGAGAGCTTCAGAAAGGTCCTTGTAAAGATGATCTCAAAGGTCACATAGGAGGAGACCCAACAAGTGACCCAAACTGAACTTTTCTTTTTTATTGACCCAAATGCAAAATGCTAAATATGTCGGAGCACACCTTCCCCAAGGTGAAACATGGTGGTTGGAAACTCAGGCTACGGAGATTACATTTTATTTTAAATCAGACATAGGGACATTGGTGAAGTGGCGGATAATTGATTAACATGATTTTAAAAAAAGAAAGACACATTCTGAAGACTTTTCATTTAACCACCTTAGCTTGTTTTATATCATATTAGAAATACATAAACAATAACAAATAATTCAACTCCTTTTTGAAACAAACAAACATTGTTTTGCCTAAAATTGCATAACACGGCATTCATTTAGTGTACATTTGATCCTTTGTAGCAACGGATGCACCTGCAGCTGAAAAAAACACTTCTGTTGTCAACATGTGAAAAGCTCAGTCCCTGACTTACATCAACACAGTGCTGATCTGTTGATTATTGTTTGTATTAAATAACTACATAATAATAATTATATTTTGATTAATAACTGGACAGACTGGACAGCATCCATCCATCCATTTTCTTTACACCCTTGTCCCTTAGTGGGGTCGGGACGGGTGCTGGTGCCTATCTCCAGCTACCGTTCCGGGCAAGAGGCGGGGTCACCCTGGACAGGTCGCCAGTCTGGACAGCAAACGGTGCTTAATAAGAGATTTTGTTTTATTTCACTGGATCTGAACCAGGTGAAGCTAAACAGCCACTTCATACTTTGGGTTAAAATATATACTTTTTAATCTTATATGCAAAATGTAGATATTTTTTATACAGTTCTTTCTTAATTACTGCTCAGAGTGTTTTTCTTTTAGCAAATTTGAGCCTGTATACTCCAGTTAATGATTAATTGACGACTAAATTAGTTGACGATTATTTTACTAATCGATTCATCTCTCTGCTTAGAATGGCCTAGTCAAAGGCCAAAACTAAATCCAGCTAAAAATCTGTGTAAAGTCTTATAAATCTAAGTTTACAGATAGTCTACTGCAAACTACAAAGAAGAATTGAAAAAACAAACATTTCCCAAGAGACTAGTAGAAGAGTGGCTCTATAAAGTATTGACATTTCATTTTCCTTCTACAATCCAATTATGCACTGCAGCTCGCTTGTCAATCGTATTACGCACAACTGAAATAGTTAGTGATTGAAAAGTGACAAATTGTGAAAAACTCAAAGGGGCATATCAGTTTCTGTTCGCATGATCGGTGGTACAGATAATGTTACGGAGCCTCCTGACAAGGTGTCAACATGATCTCTGGAAATCAGCGAGCCTGAGGCGCATCACCTCGCGCAGGTGTGCGAGCGGGGCGTTGGGGTTGGCAGGGGAGGGAGGGGAAGAGGCTGGGCTTTGGAACGTGTGCGCATGCTCTCTCGTGCACATCTGTCACTCGGAGAACAAAAGCCCCGGCGCTCGCGAGATGAAAGGCCGAGGGGGGAAAGACCGAGCTAATCAGAGCTGACAGGGCAGCTGGCTGGGTTTTAAACCTTTCTGATGCAGAGTCACACGGCTGCAGCGCTTAATCACTCGCCCTCGCTCGGGGCACATAAACATACTAACATACACCCACACATATCCACGGAGAGGAGGGTGAACAAGGAAACAGAGAAAAAGAAAGTTAGAGAGAGAGAGAGAGAGAGAAAAAGAAAGAAACCTACACATGGCAGCAAGTCAAACAGGTGTACGGGGGGAGAAACTAGTTTGGCGGCATGTGAGAGTTTTCAAGGAGTTTTTTTCACGTCGGAGACAAATCGGGACGCAGACGCCGCCGTCGGCGCGAAGAAAGCGGCTAATGCTATTACCCAGAATGCTTTGAGAGAGCGGCGTATCGCTGTAAAGACACTTTATTTGTCAGCCACGACCCTGTTATTATCCCGAGGCCTGTTATTACCCATGCTCCTCTGGGATCAAAGGCGCAGAGCGAAAAAGGAAACAAGCTCTTTTTCTGTCCTCTGTTAGCGAGGCGATCAGACTCATGCTAACAGCAACTTGCTGATAAATGCTGGGTTTTTTTGGGGGGGGCGGGGGAGCTTGGGTGGGGAGGACCTTTTTATTAGCACCAGTGTGTAAAAGTGTGAATGCCCATCTGAAATCACATTTTTACATGTATTAATGTATATAATTGTTTTTCCTTTTTCAGGCCGGTTAGGATTATCAGATTTTTTTCAGTTTGACATCAGGGAACTTTTTATTTTATTTTATTTTTTTTAGCTTTTTTTCTAATGCAGAAATTTACATGCAGTTCATTTGCCTAGTGTTTGGTAGTATTGCCTTTTAGTTCGGATGACGTAGATCAGGGGTGTCAAACTCATTTTCATTTTGGGTCACATCAAAAATCTGAATGTTCTTAAACTTTTAAAATATCAATAAATAACTGCTTCTCCAGGATTTTGCGATTGTTTTAGTGTTTTGTTGCTGTCAAAAATGTAGATTTTGTGGTGATTGGAAATATTTGCAAGGAATTTTTACGATATTTGTGCTAATGCATGACTCTAAATGTGACTTTTTATTACTCGCCGTATGAATTACAGACTGTAACTTCACATAAAGAACGGCTGAGGCGGCAGAGACTTAAGTTCTGTGTTTCTGATCAATTTTGAGAAAATTTGCAGTAAAATCAGAAAAAATGTGGAGATTTGTTGATTTTGTGTGAATTTTGCAGATCTGTGAAAAACTGGAGGGACTTACTGATGTAATTTGAAGTCTAGAGGGCCACTTGAAAAGCTACAGCGAGCCAGATTTGGCCCCTGGGCCTCGGGTTTGACACCTCTGACGTAGATGAAATATAATGGATACTCTTCCAACACTAGGTTACTGGAATATTGGCTCATTCCTGCAGACATATAGCTACATGAGTGTGTCAGGTGTTTAATTCATCTTTCTGATGAACACCTTTTTAGTTCTGACCAAAAAATCTTCTGAAGGACTGAGATCATTCTGAAACACTGACTGTGTTGTTGTTAAGGCACTTTGTAGCCAGCTTGGCTCTTTGATTAGGCTTGTTGTCCATTTGGAAGACGTGAACTTCCTGGCTGAAGTTTGAAAATGATGACAATATTTCCTCAAAATGTTCTTTCCTCAAAATGTCACCATTTTTTTTAAAGGCGCACAGCAAAACACCCAAACAACATGATTCTGTCACTACGGTTCTTCACAGTAGGCTTGTTTGTATCCCATTTTTACCTCCAAAAGTAGCACTAAGCCCTGTAGTCAAACCTTTTCATCAAATCAAACACAAGTCTCTGAAAATGTACGTCCTTATTCCAGAGTTCATTTGTAAACTGTAAACTGCTTTTTTATGTTTGTCTTGGAGTACTGGCTCCTTCCTTACTGAGTGTCTTTTCAGTTAATGTTGGTAAATCATTTTTTCACTATGGATAATAACTCTCCATTATCTGCAGCTGCCTTTGTTCTGGAGATAATTCTCACATTTCACAATCATCTTTGGGACAGGACAAAGGGTCGCTCTGACCAAATATTTTACATCTTTGACCAGTTTTTTTTTTTTAATGCTGATGGCAAAATCTGAAGGAAATCTATCAGAAATGTATTAGACCATTACCACTGACTTGGATACTGAACTCAATGCATCTCGCTATCTGGGAGATAAAAACTAAAAAATTAAGGACAGTTGACTTATGGGTCACAGACCAGTGCAGCTGAACCGCTGGTGCAGAAGGAGCTAATGCGGCAGAATTTCCTTCCACTGAAGCAAAGCCTTGCGGGATCAGGAGAAACCCCTCAATCATTTCAGTCTGAGAAATGTTCCCCGATTTCAAAACTTTGGCTGAAGTTTTGCGTGTAATACACAACTCCATTGCTGCATCAGAGCGTATATTCACCGTTCAGATCAACATTAAAACAGCCATGAAAAGACATTTTTGTCTGAGGCAAAAATCCAAACCCTCACAATAGCCTCCGCAACTGGACTAGAGACATTTGGTCACTCACAAGTGGATGAAAAAGTTGCATGTGTTCATCTAATTTCTGGGCGATGTTGCGATGCAGGTCTCTGTTCAGCTTGTTAGAGAAAAATAAACCGCAAATGAATAAGTCATTGTTATCATTTTATAAGCAGATTATGACAGGATTTGTTTTTCTTTGTTTGACCTCGTCAGTCAAAATGACCGGAAACGAAAGAGTCTAGAGCAACCTCTGCACAGAACCCCTTCATGAACGGCCTAAACATTAAAACGCTGTTTAGAGTTGTCTGTAGTTATTTCAATTCATCTGACTCACTCAAGTGCTGTTAGTCAGCCAATCAGAAGCTTACAAAGCCAGGACATGAACCTCTTAGCTGTCTGAGATTCTTCAAAGTTTTTCGAGTTCATGTGAATTTTCTCTCTCTCGTTAGTTTGGCTTTTGGTACTAAAGCAAACTGATCCGTAACAGGAAAACCTTCTGTCTGATTTAATGCTCCGCAGTGAAAGGACCTGCGTTTATGCGTGATGCATTAAGATATTAGACGTTTATCTTTCCCTAGAGAGTAATGGCTCTACCTGGCAATCGTCTAGGCACGTCACTGATGGCAGGCAGGCCCGTGCCTCGGCTGGAGGAGAGGGGAGTGGTGGAGTGGACAGAGGGGGACGCCATGGGACTCAGGTAGGACGGGTACGGCTGTTCGTACGACCACGGAGGAGAGGACTGGGACTGACGAGGGTCTGATGGGAAGAAAAGAAGCAAGGAAAGGAAGGGAAAAAAGGAAGCGAGAAAAAAAAAGGGAGAATAATTACAAGTGCCCCAACATGCACATTCAAACACTCCAATCAGTTTCGCTAAAGTCAGACATTTACAGCAGCTTCTTCCACCCTCCCCCACTCCGTGTCTCTTTTCATCTGTAGTTTTATTTAGGATTACAGATATCACTTGTGTGTATTCTGGAAAAGGTCTCCCCAGTGACACAACCAATGTTTACCTCTGAAGAGAAGATCTTCCTGTTTGCCTTATAAAACTTTGTGCTTGGCAGCTGAGAAACAGAAAAGCCTCGCTGGCCCTGGTCCAGGATGTAAACACGCCACGCTAAATACCACAGCGTGATAGACTCTGTTATTGTGTCTGTGCAACGACACAACAGACCGTGAAGGCTCTTTCTTTTTTTTTTTTTCCTTTAGAAACACTGTAAGCTGTAGGTTGTTGTTCTTAAGGCTACTGGAAGAATAGACTTTGTATTTAGTTGAATAAATGATGCTGAAGTTGGGCTTGAGAAGGAGGGTGAAAGAAAAACACATCAGCAAGCAGGCCGAAAGTTGATATGCAGTGCCAAGAGAAACTTTTCCACTTTTTTCTACATCACGGTGTTAAACTTCAATGTAGTTTATAGGGATTTTACGTGAAACAAAGCGGTGCGTTGTTACAATGTGGAAGGAGGAAGATGCTTTTGGAATATTTAGCTACAAAAAAAATAAGAAAACAGATTCTCAGTTGGATTTCGGTCTAAACCTTCTCCACCTTGTTAAACACAATGTGCCCCACAGCACCACCCTGCCACCACTATGTTACACAACAGGGACTGAATGTTATTTTTATGCTATTTTTTTTTTAAATCCTTCCACAGTTAAGCACAACTCTGTGTTCATCTCCCGATGAAATGCATTGAGGTTTAGCAGTTGCTATGTGAAAAAAAAAAGAAAAGTAAACACTTTAGCCATAGCGCTGCTTTGTATTAAAAACAAAGGACAAAAAGTGCAAGCAGATGAAAATGTACAGCTAGAAAAGTTAAGTGGGAAAAAAGCGCAAGAGGTTGAGTCGAAATGGGAATTTTATTCTTACTTTACGATTTCACAAACTAAAAAGATCTGAATATCATTCGGTAAAACGAGTCCGCGTTTTAAGCCAGAGTGTGTAACAGGCGCTGTTTAACCAAGCCTCTAACGATCCCCTTAGAAGCACTACAATGCCCGGCTCCAAAAATAACTGAGACTTTAAATAACCACGTGCGACAGGTTTCCCGATTTGGGAGCGATCGGGTGGCGGCCGTGCCCAGCCGTGAGAGATGGTGTTACCGGCTAAGCTGGAGATTGATTGAGCGACGGGGCAGAGAGGGGGACAGACAATCTCAGACGCAACATAACACGCTCCGCAGACTCTCGTGCCGTCAGGCCGCGGCTCCAGTTGGGGTTTGATGTTTCACAGCGAGTCTGTAAGTGGTTCGGCCGGACAATGCTTGGCAAACGCTCAGCGGTCATAAAGCTTGTGGTGCGAGTCGGAGATTAGGCTCGCGCATCTTCGGTGTCGCATTTCCAACGCATTGTTAAAAAGGACAAAATGTTTCAAATGCCTTGTCTTGACATAAAACATGAATTGTAAGGCGGGTATGTGTGTCATGTGTGCAGTCATAAGTCTTTCTGCAGCTTTAGGCCATGCTGAAGTTTATGTCGTAAAAAAAAGCTGGAGATGCTTTCATTTTTTTTGGGATTACACTCAGACCCAGCAAATGTACTCAAGTAAGAGTAGCACTACTTCACCATATTTTTACTCAAGTGAAAGTAAAAAAAATGGAAACGTCCAAGAGAAAAAACTTCATTTAATATTCAAAAATGGCATCATCACACAGGCCAAAATATGAAATTAAGTGGAAATTTTGGTATTTTAAGGATCAAAATGACAATGATTCACATAAGTAACAAAAAGTAATGTTTTCAAATCAGTGGGTAGGGAATCCAGAAATTGTACTCAAGTCAGAGCAGTAATACTTCATAATAAAAGTACTCAAGTAAAAGTAAAAAGTACAGAGTAGTACAAAAACTCCTAAAAGTAAATGTAATTGAGTGAATGTAACTAGTTGCTCCACAAACTCTGCTTACACTCAACGCCTTGTTATCGCCATCCTTTAAACACCAGGTGGATGTTTAACACTTGAACTACTCGCCGTGACAAAAGCTAACCGTAGTAGCTCACCTGTTATCTGTGTCTGACCCTGCGGGTTGAAGGTGTTGGCTGCGGTGTTGAGAGCTGGCCGGGGCGTTTGCGTGGGAACCGTGACCCTCACCCTCATCCTCTCAAGCTCACTAAGGCGGTCTGAGAACAGGCCGGTTTTGGGCGGGTCCTCAAGTTTCTGACGATGCCCTGAACAAAACAAAAGAAAGAAAGCGAGGAGAAGAAGAAGGAGGGGCTACATCAGTTACGTTCATGTGACAATGGCAGGACTTATCATTTTGGCAAAGACAACTTGAGGCAACTACTGTTACAGGTTGTTGCAACCAGTATGTGGGCTTGGAAGTCTTTTTCTGACCGGCTTTCCTGTCCCTTCTGAGAAGAAACAATCCCCACAGGAAAAGGGGAATAGTCGGTATGGTTGGTAATCGGTATCAGTTTTCTGCCACACGTTGGTGTTTTGCGTGTGACTTGTTACTACAAAGTATATCAAGTGTATGATGAAAACGTTCAGTTTCAACAAATATCCTCTGCAAGATGACAAGTCAGATCTTTGGTGCTATGACTCTCAGTTTGCTTTTCCAAGTCAGTGGGATGATTTAGGCTACTTTATGGCACCTAATCCACAAAAGGCTAGGCTAATATCTAGCATTGCCTTGGATGACAACTTGGAGAGAAATATACCGAATCTCTGAAGATGCATGTGTTTTGTTTGAACCTAAGGAAGAAGCTTGAAATAAACTAAATTTCTTTTCTATTCTCATATAGGCCAAGTAATCAGACGCGTCTGATCGTTTCTATGCCAGTGATATTCAGCTCTACTGTTCTTCACTTTGTCTCTTCGGCTGGATGCGAGAGCCAGAGGCGGAGATTTGATTTATGCAGTGCTACTGGAGAACAAGCTTTTCTGCGTTGTGATTGTTTTGAGTTTATAATTAGGACCACAGTGGCTAATTGTTTTCGTAGGCCAGGTTAGCCTGGTAGCGCTCATTCAGGTGTTTGCAGGTCCACCCTGTGGACATGCAGCAAATCTGCCCAAATGTAGCGAAGGAGAGCAGAGAAGGTATTTGAAATGTCGTAATTGGAGGCATCGTGATGCACCAAAAACGACGAGGCTCTGCGGCGAATGTGACAGTTCCTCCACGACCTAAACCACCGACCCACTAACCCATCAGCCCACCGGGAAAGCCCCCGGTCGTCCCATCAGCCAGTCCACCCACTAATACTGTTAGATATGCAACTATAGCTACTAGCAAACAATAAAAAATCATGAACTTAGATAACCCATGTGCAGTAAGCCGCAACATACCAGACCAAGTACACTTTCTTCTTCTGAGCCCAACCCTTTTCCATCCCTATCAAGCCTGCAGTGGGAACCCAATCAAAACCTTCCCAGGCCATGGGCCAGGTGTGGACTGCCGTTCAGTAAAGGTGGGGCCTGCGCACACACACATACATAGTTCTTTTCAGCACCGACACAGCACTGTGTCAGTATGTCTGTCTGGTCTTGCACTAGTTCCCCTGTAAAAGCGGTAAAGTAAATATCAAACAGAGGAGAGCAGAAACTCCTGCTGTGTTTGGCCGAGCTCCAGCTGGCTCGGGCAGAAACAGTGAGCTACTTCAGAATCCTGCCCAACCTGCCTGCAGTCAGAGCTGGGAACAAAGGCCTGGCACTACACCTACAACTCAGGGTGGGTGTTGAGGAGAGCAGACATGAGGATAAACAAAAAAAAAAAAAAAGACAGTCATCATTTGTGTTTCTAAAGCATCACATAGACGGGAAAAAAAAGAGAAAAGAAAGGTTTATCAAATGCATCACTGACATCCTGGCTGGAGGAGCTTTTGCTGCGTAACGTGTTCAGCTTTCCAAGCTTCTGCAAGACTTTTTACCCTTTAATGGGTAAATAAATGCAAAATGACAAGAGTGGATTCTTCCAGAGTCACCCATTACAGCTTGGCACCTTTCCACCTCTGCAACTCCGCTTTATTTCGACCTCAGATATGCCATTAAAAACCATCTTGCTCTTCACAACAAATTATTTCACTGTGGAACAACATCTTGGAACCAAAAACACCAAAAATCTTGCTGCAATGAATCAGACTGGAGGGGGGGAAAAAGGAGTCATTGATTGGTCAGACAGGATGTAATTATATCAGTATAATTGTAGTGTGATCTCTGTGATTGCCTTGGTGCAGACAAGCTATATTGTTTGCAAGATCATGTGAAAATAAGAGTCTTGAACATAGAAGCTCACGATTCTGTATTAAACATGTTCTCTTCTTAGTCTGATGTCATATTTTAACTTTTAATGTCATGTTTTATTAGCTTAGCATAAATGAAACAGCGTGTCTGATCAATCTATATAATGTGCTGCACTTAGTGAAGTGAGTTACTGAAATAAGTGAACTTTTCACTAATATTGTAACTTCTTGAGGATGGACAGATGAACAGACAGTCTTTACAAGGCCAAATACATCAGTTTGTTTTACTGAAACAAGATAAGTCTTGAAAAATGACGGTCTTTGTCTCTGAGCACTTTAACAAGCTAACCACGCTTTTCGTGCTGCTTTTCAGCGGACTCTGGCCTCTGTTACCGCCTTCGTCTGCCATCTTCACGATGTCCTCAGCTGTTGTTGTGGTGTTTTTCAGACTCCACGGGAAAGGCTGAGTCTGATTTAACGTCGCACGCAGAGAGAGCAAAATATCTGGTGTCGACAGTAATTCACTTCCATACTTCATTAATAGTGTGTCTCCATCATTCCGGCGGGTAATTTATTCATGTCGAGGCATTCCTCGTTCCTCTGTGTAAGCCGTGCCCAGTCAATCATAGCGTTTCCATTTTAAAACAGGCAGCGTTTCTGTCCTAAAAAAGCCCCGGGACACAGTGTAGGCTTTGTGCTCGGCCTGTCTCCGGGTGATGGAAATAAATAGCTAAAGGAGTTCCAAGTGAGATGAGGGGGACAGACACAAGTAGGAGGAGGACAGGGTGAGGAAGAGACCCCCAATGACCAGTAAATTAAGAGCTCTGAACCAGTCAGGCGACACAGGCCCCATTAGGCTGCAACAAATGGTGAAACGGTTAAGAGAGGGTTTTGGATCACAACGTCTCTTTGCAGGAGGATCCCGAAAAAACAAACGTGGTATTTGGACAGGTTAAATTTACTGTTACTGTAAATATTTACAGTTAAGTGAGAAGTCAGCTCGGTGGCTCGGGCTGTAAATCATTCATAGAGAAAAAGGTCGGGTTGCTTCGGTTGCTTCCTTAAACCCTAAACCCCCAAATTAAAGGCCACAGGATCCTAAAACTACTCGACCTGCTCCAAATTAAAATACTCAATAATTCAAAGTAGAACAAGAAAGTCAAAAAGCAAAACTAAAAAAAAAAAAAAAGAAACAAAAGTGTTTCAAGATGGATTTTGGAAAACAACTATGTGAAACTGCTCACATGCTCAAAATAAAGCAACACATTAAAACAGTTTTAGACACCAAAAGTCCCATGTGGAAATGTTACCAGACTCAGCAGTCATGGTAAGTTGTTCTACTCTACAGCCACACCTGAACAAATATACACCAACTTTTATGACTCATGAGAAATAAGAGAAGAAGAAAAAAAAAAAAAAAAGGTCCATTGGATCCAATGAATCATAAGGTACAAAATGAACTTAAAAACAGAGTTTATGCCTTCTGGAAACAAGTTTCAAATAAATTTACTTTAAAATTGAGTTCTAATGAGGTCGGCTATATTTGGTGGGAAGCAGCATGACATTTTTTTGTCAAACAAAACAGTTGTTTTTTTTTTAACAAGGAGGTGAGCTGATAATGATTTGGGCTTGTGGTAAAGTGAAGAGCCTTTCACAATCAGAGGTGGGGATGGATTTGAGTAAATACCGATGTGTTGTGGACTGGGTGAACTGTTGTAGTTTGGGTACAAAAGAACTTACTTGATGCATTGTAAATTGGTGCCCACCACAGATAGCTAATGATTTAGTTAATAAGTTAGTTTTAATATTTTACTCATAATATCGTAAGGAAATGTGGTTTTATGGCGCCGACAAATATTATTAAAGTGTTTATCTGTAATATTTCACAAGTCACTTGGTCCAAAAATGATTCAGAACCAAAACAAAGGGAAATATGGGGCAAGACTAATTTTTAGGAAACAAAATTGTTTGAGATTTAAGCAGTTTATGAGTACTTCTATCCATATTTCTATGTCTAATACCTAAACAATAAACTGATTGGCTGTGGTTTAAGTACACAGGGATGATACTGTTAAATGCAGAAGGAAAGGATTTAATGGCAATGTGTAGGTATGAGGTGATGGTAAAGGTCTGAGCTGACCATCGAAACTCTGAAAAAAAGGAAACAAGCCAGTTACAGTAACCACAATAATCAGGGAGTGCACATCAATTTTGCTTTTGCAAATATAAAGAATTTAACATAAAAATATACAGCAAGTACTGTACCCTTAGTCTGGTTACTGCCAGATATGAGCTTTTTTTTTAACTGCTTGGTAAAATATTAATATGTAGGTTGAGTTAGGTTTTGTAGGAACTATCAAAAACTTCAGGGAGTTGAAAAACTATTGGTTCATTCTGGATGGGAATAGTACAGTCTGAGCAAAAATGAATACATTGCCAGAGCATCACGAGTTTGATGTAGCCATCACTGGTGATCATTACTGTCAGAACAGTAATGGTCACCAGACAGAGAGGATTGTCCTGGCAATACCAGGGCAATACAAAGTCCTGGTATTGCCTGTTATTGAATGGATCTACAACCTCATTAAATGTTTTAGCAAAGTGTTGACGCTGAACCTATGATGCTAAAGATTAGTCTACATTGGAACCTAATTACATCCAGGCTAGAGTAATTCTTCTAGGTGTTCAGTTTTTTTCTTTTCGTTTTGCTAATTTGCTTCCTGGTCTATCAGGTTTGAAGGTTGTATATTTGGACACAGAATACCAGCCCCCCCCCCCCCAAAAAAAAAAAAAAAAAAAAAAAAAAAAAAA